TCCATTACGTTGCTATCTTGTCCGTTTTGTATTTTTTTTTTTGATTCACTGAGTCTATTTTTTTTCCAGAACAACCATGCAAACTTTCCTCTAAAATGTTTCGCCGTGGAAGCGCTAGACGGAAACGAAGCGCTAATCCGCCAACGGAAGTGCTAGCGCCACCGTCATTTTCACCGCTTACCACGAAAATCTATGTGATCTATGGCGATTCTGAAGGTAAAGATTTACAGTATCTGCCTAATGTCAGCTCAATTTTCTTTCTAGAATTCGCCATGGAGCGACAAATGCTATGGATGGATGTGCTGCCGGAACTTCAAAGCTTTGCATTTCATTCTGGGTTCGATATCGAATGGATAGATCCGTTGAGTGAGAGAGGAAAGCTTTCGGAGGCCATGGTTGATAGAATCATGGATGGGCTAGAGGCTGAGGACAGCTGGCTGATTGTGAGTTCATTATGTCTTCACATACCGAGTTTAAATGAGAGAAAGTGGGCTGTTAGATAGGGCTACTGTAAACGAGGTTCTTTGAGAAAAACGTAATATAAGCCTGTTCCCTCGCTCTCGGTTGCAAAATTTGCGAAACAGGGGAAACTATATGAAAAAGGGGCAGTTGTAACACCAACCTCTGTTGTATGGGCCAATCATTACACACAAGGAATGGACGCCGTTGCATCTTAAGGCAGTACGTATTTGGAAGAGGTGGCAGACAGTAAGAGAGGTGAGAGTGCATTGTGATCGGAGAGACGCCGACAGCATGCGCAGTGCGGCCCGTCTCTGCGTCTTTTGAACCAACTGTAATTTCTCAACGACCCATCGTGGGGCAAAATTACTCCGCTAGATTCTACTCAGGACCCATACCCGCTGTGTATCAGTTGACCGCATCTGCATGACTAATATCATGTTTTAGTGCCTGCTGGGTGACAAATATGGCACCATTGGTCCACCTAGTGAAATGCTCAAAGAAGAATTTGAAGCTGTACGCGCAGCCGTTTTCGAGCAAAGTGCAGGTGAATCCTTCCTTTTTAAGACGTCCCTTTTGCATCGCTAAAGTATGCTTCCGTAATCTACAGTAAAAAGGGTATGCGTGTATTCCCCTTCTACTCATCTCATCTTTGGAATCAGTTTATATAGCTTGGTGTCGTGGTGCCACTTCTTGCTTCTCAAAGGTTACGGTAGCATACTGTATGTGTGCGAAAGGGTTCATACTTGCATTTTTTTGTGAAAAAAGCACCAAGAAGCAATACAATTACAATCGTAATTTTTGCTGCTAAAGCAAAATTATTTTTGTATAGATCTCAAATTACTGGATCAACATTATGTGCTCGACCGAACCGTCATTAAACCTCAATATCGGCTCAACACACCCCTCGAAGACGAAAAATTGCGCTCGAAACTTGCCAAAGTCGTCCAAAAAGGGGCGGAGAGTGTGAGTTGTCCCCACCGTCTTTTCTTGTCTGGGATTGCACCATATTTTAGGCCTATGATGAAGGAACGATGAATCAAGTGAACTCGGACAGGCAACAGCGATTTTTCTGGTCACCAATTCATAGGGTAGCTAATGTCGCGCTAAAGCGAAATTCCCGATGTACAATGGTGCTGCGGAAATTCGACAGTTAGTTTGCTTTTTGAGCGAGAACTGGTCCCCACTTATGGAATTCCAGATGTCCGGCCAGATACCGGCATGAACTCGACATTCTGCGACAAAATACCTGAAAATGCTGAGAAAATCGCACAGCTGAAGAATGAAGTCAGTGCGAAGCTTGACCCGAAATTATTGTTCTCGCATATTTTCACTCCTGATAATGGAGACATTGCCGGATTCTACAATTCGAGGGAAGGTGACAAGTACAGGGATGTGCTGCTTAGACAGGTAAGAACAGAATTTTTTTTAGAAAAAACCAATGGAAAGCTCATCTTTATTTTTCGACACTTACTTACAATTACACCAGCGGTAGGT